TGTGAACTACCTTTTGAATGGGGACATTTTATGTCCACTAATAAAAGGTTCCCTATTAACACTAATAATCTGCAGTTATACTAACAGTACTTTTTTATAAATAAAGCCCCATGTAGACATCAGAGAGAGGTTTGTCACGCAGATAATCAGATCTAATGAACACAGGACTGGGGTTACTGAATCCAGTTGCCTGCTATTGTGGGCACTTGTGCTATAAGGCCCCTTCCAAGATGGTCACGGTCCATCTTAAAAGCAACTGAAAGTTTTGCCTCCACTGTTCTTACTAGAAATTGTCGCCTTGGGTCCTCCACGATCCACTGGCTGGAAAATTGGCTCCGGGGTCGGACCCAGAGGGTAGTAATTGATGGAAGTCACTCGTCGTGGTGTCCTGTGACCAGTGGGGTCCCCCAAGGCTCTGTCCTTGGACCCATACTGTTCAACATCTTCATTAATGATGTGGACACTGGAGTCAGAAGCGGACTGGCCAAGTTCGCCGATGACACCAAACTTGGGGGCAAAGCATCCACACCAGAAGACAGGCAGGTGATCCAGGCTGACCTGGACAGGCTCAGTAAGTGGGCAGACGAGAATCTGATGGTGTTCAACGCCGATAAATGCAAGGTTCTCCACCTTGGGAAAAAAAACCCGCAGCATCCTTATAGGCTCGGCAGTGCTATGTTGGCCAACACTATGGAAGAAAGAGACTTGGGGGTCATCATTGACCACAAGATGAACATGAGCCTGCAATGCGATGCAGCGGCTAGTAAAGCGACCAAAACGCTGGCTTGCATCCATAGATGCTTCTCAAGCAAATCCCAGGACGTCATTCTCCCCCTGTACTCGGCCTTAGTGAGGCCGCAGCTGGAGTACTGCGTCCAGTTTTGGGCTCCACAATTCAAAAAGGATGTGGAGAAGCTTGAGAGAGTCCAGAGAAGAGCCACGCGCATGATCAGAGGTCAGGGAAGCAGACCCTACGATGACAGGCTGAGAGCCCTGGGGCTCTTTAGCCTGAAAAAGTGCAGGCTCAGGGGTGATCTGATGGCCACCTACAAGTTTATCAGGGGTGACCACCAGTATCTGGGGGAACGTTTGTTCACCAGAGCACCCCAAGGGATGACGAGGTCGAATGGTCACAAACTACTTCAAGATTGTTTCAGGCTGGACATAAGGAAGAATTTCTTTACTGTCCGAGCCCCCAAGGTCTGGAACAGCCTGCCACCGGAGGTGGTTCAAGCGCCTTCATTGAACACCTTCAAGATGAAACTGGATGCTTATCTTGCTGGGATCCTATGACCCCAGCTGACTTCCTGCCCTTTGGGCAGGGGGCTGGACTTGATGATCTTCCGAGGTCCCTTCCAGCCCTAATGTCTATGAAATCTATGAAATCTAGAAGGGTGTTTCAAAACTTCACATCTCTGACTACAGACTTTTTCTTATAACCTAAATTTCTAACCTAAATATATTCAGTGCCAGCTTATACCAATTTGTTCTTGTGCAAATATTGTCCATTAACCTTTAAATAGCTCTTTACTCTTCCTGAGGTCCCTCTGTCCCCCCAGCCCTACGATGTATTGATAAAAGTCAATCATTCCTTCTCAACCTTGTCTTGCTAAGCTAAACAAGCCTTCTCCTCTAGTCTCATTTTACACAATAGGCTCTCCATTCCCCTAATCATCCTAATAGCCCTTCTCTGTGCCTGTACCACTATGTAGTCATATTTCTTGAACATATGCAACCTGAGCTGCATTTCAAATGAGGTTTTACCAGGCCATATACAGTGCCATTAATACTTCCCTTTATCTAATGAAAATGCTTCAGCTGACTTTTTCTAGGGTTGCATTTGTTTTTTGTGTGCACACATGTGTTTTACATCTCTGACATGTCAGTGGTCCATACATCCTGTACCACTGTACTATTGCAACTGGCTCCTTTTTTTCACTTGTCTCTGGCTTACGAACTTCCAACTTATGGCAGGGAACAACACCAAAAATACTAATTGCATGACCTAGTACTTTTTATTGTCAAACCTCACCCATTTCCATTACCTCAGTCCTCAAGGTCATACACTTAAGTTTGCTTTTTTGCTGTAATGGGGGGGGAGGGGGGGTTGCTGTATAATATGCTGACACTCTTGTTTATTGATGATACCTGTTAACTTTAGCTAGTCAACTTGCTCCTACTTTTTGTGCAGAGGTCTTTAATGAAAATATTAAATAAGAGTGGTCCCAAGACTTTTCCTTGAGGAATTTTACTTCCACCAGTAAGTTTCCCCTAGCCTGATGTGTCCATTTTCAGCACCACTGTCGCAGTTTGTTTAAGAATTTTGGGATGAGGGTTCCCTGCTTATCTCAACTCAGTACATTAAGCTTCCTGAACTAGGGATAAGAGGGATTTTGTTTATTAATGGGAACATTTAAATATTTGATGCATATGTAGTTTGGTGGTTTGTTTATAGGTTCCTCATTGTAATCTCCATAAGATCATTATGAAAGACCTTTCACCTTGGTCACATTCATATCATTTGTACCTTTACTTTTCTAAGTTAGTTGGCTTTTGTATAAGGTAGATATGATACAATTTTTGTATTGACAACTGAACTCCATTTGCATTGTACTAGTATGCAGATGGAAGAAACTGTCTAACTTGCATTGCAGCTTCCTCACACTTCAGAGCTTTTTTCTTTTTTCTTTAGGATCCCTACAACAATATTATCCGTACTACAATTGAGGCAATGGCAGCAGTCTTCGGAGGTACTCAGTCACTGCACACAAACTCATTTGATGAAGCATTGGGTCTGCCCACAATAAAAAGTGCTCGCATTGCTCGGAATACCCAGATCATAATACAGGAGGAGTCTGGCATTCCTAAAGTGGCTGATCCATGGGGAGGTTCATTTATGATGGAATGTCTCACCAATGACGTATATGAAGCTGCTTTACAGGTCAGTGTTATATGTGCATCTTATGGGGCCACTAATTGTTTCAAAAAATGCCTTTTAAGTGTTTACTTGTTATGCTAGTAGATTTGAAGAGGGAACTGAATTTCTCTTAAACAGCATATTTGCATATTTATTTTCACATTTAAACAGTGTATTTGCTTTCACATTTAAGATCCCAACCTTTAACATTCTCAATCCAGCAATAAGCATGCTTAAAGAAAACGCAGGTGAGACACTTATCATGCATATGCCTACTTATTGCAGCAGCAATTTAGTTGAAACCATAATCTCCCTGAGACTATAAAAACTAGGAGTATCTGAGACTAGAGTATCGCATATCTACTTCCTGTAAATCTGTGAGCTTGGGTTTAGGATCTGTAAATCTGTTACACCAGAGGTTTCAAATTAGTTTCTATCCCCCTTCCACCCCAACTTCTAGGCTGGATCTGCAATTTGGTAATCCTCCGGGGCTGGATCCAGGGATGAACATGTTAGGGAGTCCCAGGGATTAATGCAGCTATCACTCGCACCCTGCTGCTTAAATGCATCGCCAATGGGGTTCCATAGCATAGATTTCAGCAGTGAGCCCTGTGCCCAAATTCCCAGCCTCTCCGGAAGTCCCACAGTTCAGATGATGGAGATGTATGAGCTGTACGTTTGACACATATTTTACACCATCAGTATGTAGTAGGCAGGAGGTTTTAGATGGAGAGTTGAAGCTGTGGGGAGACAAGCAACAGGCCACCGCTGACAGCATGAAGAGAAGGGCCTGAAAATAACACTTGACTCATAAAAAATACTTCTTATTTTTACATAGAACTTAGCCAGGGTTTAGATGCGTGTCTGATGGCTTTTCTTTGTGAATCTTGCCTATTCACTCTTCCTTCTTGCTTCAGTTGTTAGATGTCACTTATCTTTTTTTAGGGTGCTTTCCTACAATATTTGTACGTGCAAGTAACATTGTGCCTGAGCACTGTCAGTGATGTCAGTGGAACTACTTGCACAAACCAAGGTTATTTAAATATTATTTAAGTATTTAAGATTATTGACTTGAACAATTAAGTTATTATTTAAATATTATTTAAATATGTAATTATTTGAAAGACTGGGACTTAGGATCTAATTCAGCAGTTGTTTGTACATGAATGGATTGCTCTGCAGAGCCATATCAAAACTGGTGAAGCTTTGCAGAGGCATAGTGTCCTCAGGGAGCCAATATATAGGATCACACCCTCGAATTGCAAACTCTTCATAGGAGAAGGACTGATAACTCCATAAGTTTGTTAGTAATGATTTCTTGTTTAGCTTCCTTCCTTTCACAGAAAGAGCTAGGATACAATCGTAAAGTTAGTTTCATGAACCTTGTTGCAAACGATCCTCTTAATTTGTTCTTCTTGTCTTCCTTAGTTAATTAATGAGATTGAAGAAATGGGTGGAATGGCCAGAGCTGTAGCTGAGGGAATTCCCAAACTTCGGATTGAAGAATGCGCCGCTCGCAGACAAGCCAGGATTGATTCTGGTAGGTTCATCAAGGGGAAGATGCAGACAAGAGAAAATGAATAGAGCTTCAAAGTATGCTTTTTCAAATCTATTTAAGCAATGTTTTAAATAAATTTTGATTTTTAGATTTAGGAGTAAAGCAGCAAAGGAAAATGGGAGATTTTGGTTGAATATCAGTGAGAACTTCCTGAAAGAGGTCTGTTACTGCACGAAAGCTTTCCAGGAGAAGTAGTAAAAGCAAGATTAGTTTTTAGGGCTTTGCCTAGTCTACACTGTGAAGCAATAATCTGTGTTAACTGATAATGAGTTCATAAACCATCATCGATGAAGTAAAAAAATAAGAGAAATATAGTTTATTCCAGTTAGTATAGTAAGTTGATATGATTCTGACTCTGTAGGTAAGTAAGAAATGCCATATATTTTACATCACTTTTCAGCATACAGATCAGAGTTCCTGTACGTAATCATTTCACCGTGATAAAATATGACAAAAATAAACTTAATTCCTTCCTTGAGAGAAAAAATAAAAAAATAAAAATAAATGTAGGATGATATAAAAATATGGTATTATATTTAAGTTATCAAACAAGTACTTAGCTACACAGAATACTGTGAGCTTTCAAAAAGTAGCTCTGCAGTTTGTGCATATATTGTTAATATATTATAAATTCTTGGTCTTTGTGTTGGAAACCAGGATCTGAAGTAATTGTTGGAGTAAACAAGTACCAGTTAGAAAAAGAGGACTCAGTTGAAGTTCTGGCTATTGATAACACTTCAGTTCGCCAAAAGCAGATTGAGAAGCTTGAGAAGGTAGGTACTGCATTTTTGAAAATCTAAATTCTTGCACTGTGAGACAAAGGAAAGCTCATCAAAAGTTTTGTTCTGTAGATCCAGTCCAATACCATTAGCAAGAAGAAGGGTTCTGCACAGTGACATTAGTGGCGCTGGATTAGATACCCTGGAAGTAGAATATTGAAATCCAAACGATTGTTGTCGTTTTACTTTGTAAAAATCATAGAAAGCGTTCTGATATGCATATTATAAAGAGAAAAGCATATGCTGCAATTATAAAACTATAAAACCTAAGATTTTCACATCTGAAATTAACATTTTCTTGATTGTAAAAATGATCCATCAATTTGACTTTCAAAAATATGGAAAGCAGTTAAGGAAAACAGAGTCAATCTCCCACCTGAGGAAGTTGTTTGAATCATTCTTGTTCCTGTTTCCATGCTACTTCAGTGTTTTGGAAGCTCCAAGAAAGACTTAAAACTCTTAAAAAGAGAGTGTCCGAATGTGATGCTCTTAACTTTTCTCAATACCAATTCATGAAGCATAATTTCCTTAGATTTGGGTTATTATTGTTTACTTTTGAGATTTAGGATAACAAGGAAATTAAATTGAGCTGAAAATAAACTGTGACTACTTCCCAGAAGAATGGAATGGTATTATGGGTTCTTTTTCCTTTCCCTCTGAAGGCTTGATTTTTAAATTCCCTTAAGTTTCAGAAGAATAAGTTTTGTCTCATCACAGTTCATACTGGCTATTTGTCAAGATGACATGAAAAGGATCACAATTTAGCACAATTCATATTCTCTGCAGAGAAGATTCAACACTGGAGTGGTGTTGTTGGCCACTTCAAAAGTGCATGCGCACTGTAGTTGTTAGAAAGTCTTATAAATAAATTGTCTGTTCTATGTATGCTTGGATATATTGTTAAGGGAGGATTAGGAACAAAATTTTACCTATTAAAAAAAAGAAAAAAAAGTAGGTACCTCCTTCAAAAACTTACTGAGATACACCACCTAACACTGCAGCTCCAGTACTGATTGAGCCATAAAAGTGCTAGCTGAATACAAAAAATAACAAAGATTTAAGGAACGAAGCCAGAGATGAAGGAAGGAGCAGCACAGCTATATTTCCAGGTAATAATTGCATCTATCATTTGGTACATTCGTTTTTCTTGCTGGCACATCACCAGGCTTGTGCTGCTTTATTTAAAAAAAAAAAAAAAAAAAGCATTCCCTTGACTTCTGGCAAATTGCACAGCAGGACACCCCAGGGGCTCACCAGGCTGCTCTGTGGGTGTGAAAACAGTGATAAGAGCCTCCTCCCAGTCCAGCAGATACAGATCTGTATCCAGCAGATACAGCTCCATCTTCCTGCTCTCAAAGCCATTACCTTGTGCCGAGGCAGTGCGCTCGAGCATGCAACATTGCCTCGGCTCTTGTGCCTGCACATGCACTGCAGCCACAGCTCCTTGTGCAGGTGGAGAGCAACCATCCCTGAGATCCTCCACCTCCCTCCCTTCCTTTCTGGCTTGGAGCCCTGCTCCTCCTGGCTGTGCACTGCCATACCTCTAGGCACAGCCAATAGAATTGTGAGGACAAATGATTGACATGCATTTCCACCAATGAACTGAAAAACAGGACTTTTTTGCAGTTTGTTTCTCATTCAGGAACGGACGGGGTTAAAAACCAAACGGTGCAGTATGAAACAGGACCAGCGGCCACCTTAACACATATTTTAGTTTTCTGTCACATTTTTGTAGATAATATACACGAGCGTAGCATGTGCTTTCTTATCTTGAAAATTGGACTAATATAGATGTAAGGTCCAGGCAGACAAGGTTCTTTGGGTAGATGTGATATCTTTTATTAGACAGTTAAATAGTTGGAAAAGTTGTTCTTTGCAAGCTTCCAGGCACAAACACCCTTCTTCAGGCATAGGGAGAGTCCGCTGGTGTTTCGTGTGCTCTCCTGGGTGGAACAGGAGCCAAAATGTGAAATGCAGGTCTTTAAAAATGCAAATGTGTGGCAGTGAGGGTAAGAGGGAATGGGAGACAATATGTGAGAGACAGATAGGTGGGGGAGAAAGGGGAGAATGTAGAACTGTTGATAGAATGTAGCTGGTAAAATGCAGAGAGGTTGCTTGGGTTATCAGATTTTAGGCAGGTATAATGTGCCTTAGATCCAATGTCTATATTTAGTCCATGATTTTTTGTATCCAGTACATTTTTTAAGTGAAGGTCATATGCTCATCTACAAAAGTTATTTTGTAAATTCCCTTTGAGGATTAGAACTGAGCGACTGGAGAGAGAGTAGTTGTCTTGTGAGGAGTGTGCACACACAGGTAACTGGATATTTTTTGATTGATTTTTGGTGTGCAAGGATTTTCCATATTGGTTCCAGGGAAGGCTGATATGTCATAACTAACGGTGTGCAATTTGTAGGGATTATCTTTTTGTATTTCCCTGGAACCTATACAGAAAATAATCAAATAGTTGCAACCCATACTAGAAGAGGACCCAATTCTTAAAGAGATCTTCCCAGAACCACCCATCCTAGCCTTCAAACAAGCACCGAACCTCACTAAATTCATCACCAGAAGCAAACTTCCTATGGCCTAAAGCACACCAAATGGATCCAGACCACGCTGGGACAAAAAATGTAAAACCTGCCAACACATCTCCACCACAGCCACAATAGCTGCATCCCACAACAGAACCATCACCATTCCTGAATCTCACACCTGCACCTCCAGAAGTGTAATATATCTCATCCAGTGCACCTCAAAGAGAATTTACAAAACACCTTTCATACATAGGCCTATGAACTTCACTTCATAAATCTACTGGATACAAAAAATCATGGACTCAATATAGATATTGGATTTATGGCACGTTATAACCTGCCTGCCATCTAATAAGCCAGGTAACCTGTCTGTATTTTACCAGCTACATTCTATCACCAGTTCAACATTCCCCCCTTTCCCCACCCCACCTACCTGTCTCACACCTATTGTCTCCCATTCGCTCTGTTCCTCACTGCCACACATTTGCATTTTCACAGACCTACATTTTGCATTTTGGCTTCTATTCCTTCCAGGAGAGCACACAGAATACCAGCAGACTCTCTCCATGCCCAAAGAAGGTTGTTTGCACCCAAAAGCTTGTAAAGAACAATTTTTCCAACTGTTTAGTTGGTCTAATAGAAGATATCACATTTACCCAAAGAAACTTGCCTGCCTATGGCCTTAGACCAACATAGCTACAACCAACAACCCTGATGTAAGAACCAGTGTTTTATGAAACCTGGGTCCAGAAACACATGATGTTGTTGTCATATATAATGTGTGAAGCTCTTGTAACGTATTTTAATAATTCGGTAGATATTGGATATTTTAAAAGTGTATTGTTGATAGGGCTGTGCGAAAAGGCACCATTCCGTTTTGACTTGCATTTTGACGTTTTGATGGAACAACATTTCATTTCAAATTTCGTTTTGATTCGAAACCTGTGTTCCATTTCATTTCATCGAAACAGTGTTGACACTGTTTCAAATTTTGCCCATAAGCTATAATGGGGAAGCACGAAACAGCCTCTGTCATCAGCAGGCAGATCAGGGGCCCACAACCCCAGGAGGGCTGCGGGGGCTGTGCCGGTCCTCCCGGGGTTGTGGATCCCTGATCTGACTGCCAGATGAGGGAGGGAAGCCAGGTGCTGCTGTCTGGGACTGGTGCCAGTATGCTGCCAGTCCCAGGCAACAGCACCCAGCTTCTCTCATCTGGCAGGCGGATCAGGAGCCACAACCCCAGGAGGGCTGCAGCGGCTGTGCGATTGGACCTAGTTTCCTTCCCTAGCCTGATCAAGCTGGGGGAGGGAACAGCCCAATCTTCAGTTCCCTTCCCCAGCACTGCAATCCATGCGGCTGGGGAAGGGAACTCAGCCCAGCTGAGCTGAGTTCCCCTCCCCAGCCCATTCCTAGCCCTGGGGAGGGGAACTCAGCTGGGCTGAGTTTCCTTCCCCAGCCTGATTGTAGCACTGGGGAGGGGAACTCAGCCGTGCTGCTTTGAAACTCAAAACATTTTGAAACTTTTGAAACGTTCTTACTGTCCTCATTTTGTTTCGAGGCTGTTTCAAAGCCCTTCGTTTCATTTTGATTTCGCTGTTTCAAGCTCGAAATGAGTTAAAACAGTGTCAAACTGAAACAGACAGCAAAATTTCGCACAGCCCTAGTTGTTGATGCTTCATACTGTGGTGAGAGAGAAAGAGTTCATATTGTTTCCTTCACTTGCTTTCCAGCATTGTTATGGTAGTTACCTGCAGCAGCTAGAGTTAGAAATTATTGCTTTATGCCACTTTGGGAATCCCAGCTTTCAAACAAAACCATTTGAAGCCTCACTTGTTCTGTTTAGCAGTGTAAATTAAACTGATTGGGGAAAGCTGTCTCAAAAATACCGGGTTTGTTTACTTGTATGAATACTTTCAGAACCAGGGTCTTATGCCAGCTCCTAAAAATACTCATAATGATACAGGCAAGAGAACCTTAGCAGG